CCTTTCAGATGTTCAAGTTTAATATTTCTAAGTTTTAGCACTTCATCTGTAATCTTCTGTATCAGGAAGTTCTGTGTTTTTTCTCGTCGAATTGACTCAACCAGGGTATCTAGTCCTTTAGGGTTTTCTTGTAAGTAGTCTAACAATTTTCCAGCCCTTTTTCTACTTGATGTTCGGCAAGAAATTTCTTCAGTGTCTTCTCTACTGAGTATTTTTTTTGCACGTAGATGATCAAAATGTCTCTCAGCTATGATTTTATCACACAGGTAAACACGCAAATTTTCTAAAGCCTAAAAGACAAAATATGCTTCCAAGTTATTTTTCAAAACTAAAACAATGACACAGGTGATTTCTCAGGAATCTCTAAGTGGTGTGAGAAAATGTCGGGACATCAGGAGGCTCAGGCCTACGGAAGCTCATGCTAATTAGGGTGTAGGCCCTGAGAGACAACGTAGGTCCCACACTAGACATTCCTCACAGCTTTGGTCCTACTTGTATCTCACCACGTCATTAAGAGGAGGGGTGACTTGGTCTAGAGTACCTGGGTTTAAGGAAATAGGGAGGTCTGCTGAGGGCCACCATGAAGAGTAAACATGAGAGAAAAGGCTACTATGCTTTTTAGTTCTCATTTAGCTAGGTGTCCAGGACTATACAGGACCAGGGAGGAAAACTTAATAAGAGTTCTAGAAGATCAGTAACTTTCTCTTGTTTGTATATTTCATCTGCCTAGAGTAAAACCATTAAAAAAACAAAGAAAAGAAACTATAAGAGATCAGTTAGAAAGACTAAAAATGAACTCAGGAAGTCAGTCTTGGTGAAAAAGGGGTGTGTGTATGTGAGAGAGAAAGGGAAGGAGGAAGGGAGAGGGAAACATAAAGGCATACTGACTGTTGGAAGAAGATAAAGAAATGAAGGGAACCATAGGAAACAGGCCTAGACCTGAGATGTAGCTGTTGGTGTTAGGTGCCTTAAGTCGATTTCAATACAGGACATAGTAGAACTGACCCACAGAGTTCTCTGGGCAGTAATTTTTCTGAAAGCACATTGCCAAGTCTTTTCTCTCATGTAGCCACAAATGGGTTTGAACTACTGATCTTTTCGTTAGCAATCAAGCAATTAACCACTGTGCCATCAGTGCTCCTTGAGAAGGCATGATTAGCTTGGAAAACCACGTGGGTTCCAATAAATGGTATTATTAATTCGATACCAGAAGCTGTACTCTAGTTCTTCCATTTACTAGATACATGATCTTGGGAAAGTTACTTATGCTTCTGTGCCTCAATTAACTAATATGATTGTTATGAAAAGTAAGTCTGATTGTTGAGTTGATTCTGACTCCCAGTAACTTATAAGACAGAGTAGAATTATCCATACGGTGTCCAAGGGCTCCTGGTGTGGCACTCTAGGATCAGCACTGGACTATGAACTACAAGGTCGGTAGTTTAAACTTACCAGCTGCTCCTTGGAAACCCTAAACAGGGTCGCTACAAATTGTAACCAACTTGACAACACTTAACAACAATAACAATTTTTACAGAAGCTGACTACCACATCTTCCTCCTGAAGAGAGACTGGTGGATTTGAACTGCTGACCTTTTGGTTAGCAGTTGGGCACTTAAACACTGTGCCATCAAAGTTCATTATGAAAAACAGATACAGAAAGTGCTATAAACATGCTAGCATAGTATACATTAATAATAAACACCACTGATGATGGTAATAATAATTAGTTTGACTCATACTGATGATGAGATAAAGGGAAAGATTTAAAAGTATGTGGAGAGGAGCCTTGGGGTGGCACAAAAGGTTAAGCATGGGATACAAACTGAAAGGGTGGCAGTTCAAACACACAGAGATGCCCCGGTAGAAAGCTCTACTGATATGCTTCTGAAAGGCCACAGGCATGAAAATCCAATGGAGTACAGTTAACTCTAAAACACAGGGGTCCCATAAGTTGGTATCAGTTCAATCACAACTAGCTAGCATGTGGTGCCAGAACGAAACACTTCCTGGTCCTGCGTCAACCTCACAATCCTTGCTAAACTTGAGGTCACTATTGTGGCT